TATAGCAACTCGAGGTTTGAATTTGTTCTTCAGTTCCTTGAGCTTAAGATATGCTGAGCGAGTACGGCCCTTTTGGTTTTCTGACTCCAACTCCTTGCACATTTCATTGTAATATTTTGCTTTGTTATCCCGTGCTCCTTTTGAAATCTTCTATCCAACTCTTTAGTATCTTGAATTCCTCCTTGTGCTTTGGCTTCTCTGCACTCCTGTGCAATTTTCAGAGTATCTTCTGACATCCATTTTGGTCTCTTACTCAAAATAGTTACTTCATAACAGTTTCCTAAATTTTTTTTAACTTCCAATCCTGGATCCCTAAAAAGCATTTTCTATATACTAGCCAGTGTGATCTTTGGAAGTTACTCAGGAGTATATTAATCCTCTACCCCAGATTCTCCAATGACTTGTTGGTATAACTAGATTAAAACCTCAAGTGTTCTTCATGGCTCAAAATGTAAGTAGACCCATCTCCACTCTTTTCCCTTTAGCTCTTCAGCATGCGCAGATCTCGTGGTTCTTTTTTCTCTTCCGATATATCAAAGCTGTTCCCATTTTTAGGCTTTGGCAGTGGCTTTGCCTCCTTTTAGAATGTTCTGACCCCAGATCTTTGCATGACTGCCTCCTTCTTGTCATTCAGATGTCATAACTCAGAGAGGGCTCCTTTACTATTCTAGCTAAAGTAGCATTTACACCTGCCTTCCTCTTTGTGCCCGTTGGTCACCTTATCCAGGGAACTCTGATGGTGTCGTCTAGTGAGTGGTGCTGCTAGCCCAAAGCCTGGACCTTTCTGGCCGTTTGAGTACACCAGTGCTACAGAGGAAGAAACGTGGGCAATTCTCTCATGTGTAGTTTACAGGCTTGGAAGCCCAGTAGGGGCTCAGCTATGAGTTGGTTCCTGTTCGTCCACAATGAGTTGAGTTACTGCTTTAGTTCACATTGTCTTAATTTTTTTTAATAGCATTTATCAGTATTAGCAAGTCTTACTTAATATTCCCCATCAAAAACATTTTTCATACTAAATGGAGGTTCAAATTTTGTTATTTTTTACCTCTTTAAAAGGTAAGAACATGAACTTCATCTTGTTCATTTATGTCTGTATGACAGAGGCACACAGAGCAGGCAGGCTTTCTGCTGTGGATGACGTACGTGTAAATGCTGGTTGACAGAAAAAAGGCATAATGGCTTAATGTGCTTATTGTATTCTGGAACAAAAACATTACACACATACACAACCAAACAAAATTCATATATAAATTTATATAAGCACATACTCATTTTCTGCTCATATTATTAGTAGAGTAATAGAGGAATTTTAGCCATAGTGAAGTTATTTTTGTGGTTTGGGAATTAAAACGAAGTGGGAAAAAATACTAGCTTTGAGAAGACTTTATGTTGATATTCAATTAAGGTGTTCAGAATTAGATGGTATTTTTATACCTAAACAGTTCCTCTTTAACAAAGGTACTGATTTAACCCATAAAATACCAACGATATTTAATAAATCAGAAATTACTGGTAGATTTTATTCCTTAACTATCTTTAGCGTAATTAAAGTTACATTTGATAGAATAACCTTTATAAAAAGTTAGATAACTTTATAAGTTGTTAGGATGAGAAAAAGAGTTGGGTAACTATGTTAAGAATGAGAAAAAAGTCATCTATTACAAACATTATTTCAGTGGACAGAAATAAGAATTCCTCATCCATGTTTCCAACACAGCATTGCACATAGAAGGTAGCTTTCTTTTTACAATAATCTTTGATGACTGTTTATTTTTGCAATATTCAAACCTAATCAATGTAGAAACTGACATTTAGTAAATATTTTTTTATACACAGGATTCAGTTTAATGCCATAGAGAATCCCAAAGACCAATAAATTATTAATACAATGGGACATATTCTCTTGCTTATATGTAAAATTATTATACTTTTAAAGAGAGAAATTTGGCCCAAGGTTCGTCATGCCTTGTTCTTGATTTCAATGGTCCTTGAAATACCACATGCTATAGTCCTTGAAATACAGTACACTTTCCCCAAAATGGCTTCACCTGAAGATCTGCTAGTGATGGTTGTTTTCATTCCATCTGCACCAACAATTATCTTTCTTTTCCTTCCTCTCATCCCTACCATCCATTTCCTAGTGTTTAGTGCTCCAACAAGAACAAGGCCATGCCTCAACTGGACCTGACTGACATTGTTAGCATCATTTTCAGTGTAAGCTTCCTCCAGGCTACAGAGCAGCAGCCGGCCTGCGTGATGAGCAGGAGGGGGAGCCGGGGAGGGAGTGCAGGAAGGCTGGATTGAGGCGTTTTCCCCCGGAGCTAAGATTTTCAATCACAAGAGAAAATTGTCATTTATTAAATATTTAGCAGCAACTACGGTGTTTAGATGCTAGTAATTTCTATTAAAATTTTCTTTTCCTTTGATAGAGTCGTTCCAATAAAGAAGATCCAGAACAGCTGAGATTAAAGCAGAAAGCCAAAGAGGTAGGACTTTCAAGTTACCATACTCGTCTTTGTGTTGGAGGGAAGCTTGGCCGCTTTCTCCCGGCAATTAGGTCACGGTTTATTTTGCTGTTGCATACCATTTGCTGAAGCCTTGGGGAAGGACAGGAACTGCCACAGGCAAGGGCAGGACTTCAAATGAGGTCAATGAGTTATGTGCTCTCTTTTCAAAATTTATTTTCAAGGCTTAGGCCTGTCTAGAAACGGCCCTTTGTAAACTACAGCAGTGTGTTTAGTAGGGATATAATGTGGGATTAAAAAGAGGGAGAGAGAAACTTTGGAGATTTAGCATCTGGGACTGTACAATAGGCTACATTTTTCCAGGGTAATTGTTCGTTTTGTAAATCTGATACTACTTATAATTCTTTGGCTGGGAGGCGGTACTGGGATTTAGTTTTAAATGGAAAACGCCTCTGGCTTTTAATTTTCTGGGCCCAGCAGTTTTCTGTTCTGGAATGGAGCCCTTGTTTCACACAGTTCATGTTTAGCTGCAGGGTTTTTAGTTTATAGCTTAGACTGGTTAAGCTTTTACTCCCAGAGGCCTCTGCATAGCAACTGTAGAAATCAACAAATAAGTTCATTTATGTCTGCAGCCTCCTCTCAGTAGCTGACTTTTTACATTTCCCAATATCCATTTCCTGACTTTTCTAGCCCCAGAGAAAAAAGCTCCACTAATTGGAGCTTATTTTAATTGAGCCTTAATATTGGATCTCACTGGAGTTGCCCCCAGAGCTGCTGGGAACAGAATAAAATGAAAGTACCTAAGGTTGAAGATGTGGCATGTGTATGGGTGTGTGGGTGTGTGTGTGTGTGTGTATGGGTGTGTGTGAAATTTTTCACTTGACCTACAGATTCTTTTCCCTGCTGAATAAATCATCAAGCCTGTTCACATTTCTGATTAAGGATCTGACAGCAGACGATAATAAAGACAATTGAGGTGTGAGATGTGTGATATGGAGCTGAAGAAATTGGTTTCTATAGTTACTTGACTGATTTCGTGCAATTTTTAAGGATTTTTGTGCTAAATCAGAATGATTTCCTAAGCAACGTTTTTTTCTTAACTGTGCCTCTTGAACTATGAAATTTGTTGTTGCTTAACATTGCTGCAGTGACTCCTAGGTGCCAGCAGCAGCACGTTATTTATGAATGTTTTAAAGGCCCTTATTGTTTGGGTTAATGTTGGAGCAGAGGCAAAACAAATGGAAAGCTAGCAAGACCTTTATAATCAGTGTGGTATATTTTTACTAAAATAGAGAAAAAGAACACGTGAACCCTGAGTGGAGGGGCTTCTGGATTGAAATGAGAACTGCAAAGTGGGAAGATTGGAAACAGAAATGTTTTCTTTTCAACAGCAACAGCAACAAATGTCTCTTAGTCATTTTTTCCAGTGGAAAATTTATCTAAAGACACTAGTATGAAGACCAGATTTGGTTTGATTACTGATTTTCTTTTTTAAGTGGACAATCTATTCTTAGTTACCTAGAGTTGGATTTCTCTCTTCTACTTGAAAAATTGATTAGATGCACTTCTGTAGACAGAGGTGTCTGGTTTTCTCTAACTCCATGAGGATGGAAGGAGAGTCGTCATCAGTACTGGCCCAAGGGTAGTTACTACGGGGTAGAAGTCAGATGTAGAACACCACTCCCTGGCCTTTTGACTGGTTCTGACACCAGCCTTCCATCTCATAGAGCTCTTTACGGCTCTGTTGCATTTAATTATTCACTACAGTGGCCACACAGAACTCCTTGACCATACTCAAAGGTAAGAGGTTTATCAGGGAAGTAATAGGATACAACTGAGGATCAAGAAGGAGTCAGGTGTAGTTCTTGAATGAGGGCAGCCTCTTATCAACCATGCTCACAGGCAAGTCTCTTTCTCTCCCTCTGCACATTGGTCCTTGGAACTGACTTCTGCTATTATTAGGTAAATAATATCCAGCTCTTTAGCTCTATCAGAAGTGCCTGAGAGCATCCCACTCTCCTCGTAAGCCTTCATGAAGGTGCTTGGCTTTCTCCCTCCCTGGTCATCAAGCTCACTTCCCTCTACGAGGACTTGGGACTACATTCCGCCAACCTGTCTTCACAGGTGATGAGCTCTCTTGCTGTGTTACCCTTCCCACCAACCTAGTTTTGTCGCACCCACTTCTCATGTACCGTTTCTAGGGTGTTCTTTCTCCATTATAGCTTTTCTAGGAGGTTTTCAGTGCAGGGTCCTAGGATCCAAAGGACATAACTTCCTCCTTTCTCTTCTTGGTTGTAGTGGTCCCCACTGTTCACCTTGGGGAATCTTTCATTTCAAGCCTAATGAGGTGAAAACTGAAAACAAATTAGTTTCCCCATAGAGGAAGGCCCACATCAAGGTGGGATTGACCGTGGGTTTAAGCACAGCAGAGATTGTGAGTTCGGAACAAGATGTTTCATTGTATAGAACATTAGATAACAAAGAGTAGGGCCCCTAACACTTGCACCCCCATAAGGGTGCCATGTAATTTTTTTTGCCAGTATTTTCATGGGAGTTAAAAGACCATTGCTTATAAGGGTCATGTAAAAGTGAGCTCTTGTACCAAAATATGTACGTGTATTGCTTTTTATAAAAATATAAAAAAAGCTTGTTTTTTATTCCTTAAGTTCTTAACTCTTTCTATCCCTTCTTTCCTAAACCATCTGGATTATAGATTAGTTTTATTTTCAGATTGGTATAAGATAGTTTTCCTTTTTAGTTGTATTTCCTACTAGCCCCTGAGGATTGTTTTATACAGGTATGTGATAATTTTTCATCCATTCTATTGACTTCTTCCAAATTTATGTTTTTCAAAGAAAATAATAAAAAATGAATGTGTTTAAAATGCCTATATTAATAGAACATTTTTATATAAATGATAATAAACCTGATTTTCTCTCCTTTTGCACCTTTGTTTATTCCTGCTTCTAAGCAAATAGTTTTAAAGGACTCAATATAATTTCTTTCCATGAAAGTTTTCTAGTTACTTCCTTTCCTTAATCCTCTTTGATCAAAAAAGGAATCAAGTAGTTTGGACCTGATTCAATAATGGAACTATTCTGTTACAAATGTTTGTTGAAAGTAAAATATTGTCATTTTCTTTATCTTCCATCCCCTTAGAGCTCTTAATAACTTCAATATTCAAAATCAACCAGAGATGCCATATTTTGTTTTGTTTTAAGAATCATTGACCTTAATAGAGAGTTGAATTACTCTGTTGTATGATGATTTATTTGTAAAGTTATCATTGGGAGACACTAATCAGTATCAGATTGGTATAAACTCTAAGGCTTTTGTGATTTTTTTTTTTTGGTGGGGGGGCGATAGATAGTTGCTGCAGTTGCTTAATTTAGAATTGCATTGCCTTCCCTTTCCAGGTAACGTACTTAGGAAGGAAGTCAAAGGAAATAGATTAATAACAGTATCTTATGAATGCAGAACTCCAAAGAACATTTTTAGAAAAGTTGTAGGCTTTATTTATGCTGGGATGTGTTTCAACCTGGTGTTTGGAATATAAATATTAAATGACAGCCTGCCTTCCCTTTGTACATAATATAATCCATGCTACTTTTCAGCTGTTAAGGAGTAGGTTATCTCTCCTGTGGTTTTTCTTCTAATGCAGTTTTAGAGGTTATTCATTTATTCTCTGCATTTGGTACAAGAACACAGTATGCTAAATTAGGCAGATGGTTTCATACAGGTATGTGATAAGTTTTCATCCATCCTATTGACTTCTTCCAAATTTGTCATTCACAGTTGACACTTTAAAAAAATATAGCCTGCCTTTGGCTTTGCCTCCGGCTTAGTCAGAGTCATAGTCCGTCGAAGTAGCTCCTGCTGCATGCTGTTCTTATGGATCTGACAGGTTATCTGTCTGATCTAAATCTTACTGTCTGTCTCTGAATATCTCTCCTTGTAATTGATACATTTCATTTCAAACTTCTGAGTGTTCACCCCACCCACCCCTTAGAATATGTCATGTGTTCTTCCTCTCTAGCTCCTTTTCTATTCTGACTTTGTATTTCCAATACCAACACTTTAAATCTCTTTTCTCCTTATATACTTTTTCTAAAATTTAAATACTGGCATTTTTCCATTTCACTTTATATTTGTGAAGGTTTTAACTAGATTTGCCAATCGCCAGGTATCAGCTTCAAAAAGGCAGGTCCATCTTTGTTCAGGACAACCGCACACTTGTCTGAGATGAGGGCCAGGTTTACTGTCTTGCCCTCAGTGTTTGCCCTTTTCACTGCTTCGTCCAGAATTCTGTGGAACAATCTGTCTGACCCTGAGTTCAAACATCCTGATTCATTAAAAATTGGTTTTATATACAGCGACCCTAGTTTCTTTATAAACTTTTTTCAGAAATGTGAGTTGAGTCCTGTGCATAGTGAGACAAAGAATTCATGCCCTTTCTATTGAGCAATCCCTGATATTTCCACTTCCATGTTTATCAGCCAACGAAGGGAACAAAAAAGAAATAGATGCTGAATGCAAGAGCTGAATATGCCCATACATTAGCTTTGCAGTGAATTTCGTAGGGGTTGGGCAAAACAATAACAATTAAAAAATTTAAATCTATAAGTCATTAGAAAACTTGTATTATGAAGAATCCAGGGGTTTGTTCACAGAAATCAGGACATTTAAAAATACAAAATGGGATTTTAATTTCTAAAAAACAGGGCATATAAAATTACCGGTTGATGACAGGATTCCTTTCTAATTACTTTGTTGTAAATCAGTTGATGTATGTCAAATGTCAAATACTTTTTTTTAGAAGTTTTCACTGTTGTCTTTTATTATCAGCATCTTTACAAAGTCAATCTTTGTGGAGTGGAATCATTATTTGTTAACTTAAGAGTATACTTTAGGGTTGTATTCTCTCTCCATGCAGTGTTGCAGTTGTGTACTGTAGAGTCAGATCTGACCCTCTGGAGAGTTTTCCGAAGCAGTTAATTGCTTCTGAAATGAGATTGCCCATC